ATTATATATATATATATATATATATATATATATCAGACTCGTTTATTTCAATTTATTCAACTTGTTGTCTACCTGCTTTAGAAAATAAATGCTCTTTTAATCAAAATTGAAGAGAGAGAGAGAGAGAGAGAGAGAGAGAAAAGTCTTCACAAATATAAAACAAATTACACAGCTCTGTATAAAAATTGATTGTTGAAGATCGCAAAGTGTGGCTGACATCTAATTACAGGGTTGCGGTACTGATACGTGCACTTGTCATGCGATGCTTGAACAAAAACGCCCTCGCGTGCTTCGCGTTGATAAAAGAGCCGTGCCGGCTGTTGTTAGTAGAACTGTCAATAGCCGGAAAGTGGCAAAACGCGAAGAGCGAAACACGCGTCGAAATCAGCAACGAAGCGGAAATATGTACTTTATCAAAGCGAAGACCAAAAACCCACGCGCGTTTGTATAAATGTTTACCAATTTAGCCACGAGCATACTCGATGTTAAAAAAATTTGTACTCAGCGATTTTTCCTCGTCAAAGCCGGAACCAAGAAAAAAAAAAAACCAACTGTTCTCTAGTCAATAATAATTTCATTATGTATACATCACATACGGCCGATTGCCGTGTGTGACCGAATCTCTCTGCGGAGGACGGATTATTCCGAGTACGAATGGACGATCGGTCGGTTGGAGTGTATAACTAAAACGAACGAAAGTTTGACGTGCGTGTCTGTAATGTGTGTGCGAATGACAACTTGTACATATAGTACCTGAAGTCGAAAAAAAAAAAAAAAAAAAAAAAAAAAACATATTATTCCTCCAGCACGTCAAGCCGGCCATGTTGGAACACGAAGCACCGGATCATGTGTTGTGTTTAAATTGTTTTTTCATCTATTAAAAAACGCGCACAAAATTGCGATCGATGAAAACTTGAAAGAAATAAAAAAAAAACTTTACGTATCTCGTCGATTATTTTGTTTGTTTGTTTGTTTGTAGAAATGATCTTGTTTTCGCACGGCGATTCCAAATGGCAGGCTCGACCGAGATTATGGATCTTCGAGGAGTTACGAATGAGGCTGCAGGTCGCGAAACAAATACACTTCCGCAATGATATCGAACAAATTGATTACATTGGTGCTCGACAATGTGTGCGCGTGCGTATGTGTAAGCCTTTTCCGCAATTTTGCGCACGTAACGAAATTGAACGATAATTTTTTTTTTTTTTTTTGATTACTCTATAACACGATCACGCGCTTATATATCGCGCGCTTTGAACGCGCAAGATTTTTTTTTTATCTCACGCAGTTCTATCCTCGCGTAAAAAACTTTTGCACCGAAATTGTATCATAGCGAAACAAGCGCTTTGGTGGATTACGTCGGAGCTTCGAACGAGAAAACGCGTCGATGTATTCCGATCGTACGACGATGTGATCGTTAAGTCTTCATTACGCGGCAAATCTCATTTTAAACGCGATGAATCGTTTGAAACCTAAAAAAAAAAAAAAATGCGCCGTACATGCGTCGGAAATCTGCGCGTGGATATATCTGCAAGTTTTTATCCACAAGAGAGAAAAGATTTAATTACGTTTTTTACACAGAGGGGGCGATATTACATTTTACAAACGTATTGTACGTATAAAACACAATGTAAAAAAAAAAAAAAAAAAAAAAAGTTTATACACATTCTATTTCTATTGTTGCGTAAAGGCGTAAACACGATGCGAGTCGAGAGTTAATCGAGCCGACTTTGTTTTTTTCTGCGGAATCTCTCGCGCGAGCGAGATTCGAACATTCGTTTGTTCTTGCGCGAGCGGAATACCTACTTATAAGGGATCGTCGATAAAACGCGCGAGCGCCTCGTAACTAATATCCTATAAGATTTTGAAAACAAAAAAAAAAAAAAAAAGTTATTGGTATCTAAAATAAATCTCTACGGCAAATCACAAAAGCCGTCGTTGCAAAAGAGAACGACCGAGTTGAATACATTTTACCTTTGGATCTCATCCCCTTTTCCCAAGTGTCACGATTCTTTTTTTTTTTTTTTCAGGAATCTTATAACTTCGCAAAAGAGACTAACCCGTGCGGGGAACAAGCAAAAAAAAAAAAAAAAACACACCGACGATCAGGCTTGCGGACAGACGGCATTATTCACGTGAGAAGAATAGTAGGAAGTCGTCAAACGACAGAGAAAACGATGGAAAAGTTTGGAAAAGAGACGCGTCACGCGTCCGGATGAACGACGGACGGTTCTTTTTTTTTTTTTTTTGTTTTTTTTTCCGGAGGATTAATTAATTTCCCGGTCCCATTCGCGGGGACCCTAACGAGCTCGTTAAAAAGTTTCGACACGTTTGGATTCGGATTCGGCTGCGGAGAAGAAGCGTTTAAGCTTCTTTTCTCCGCCGAACCGGAACGGAACGGAACAGACGAATGGTTTCTCTTCCGCGCGCTCCCCACGGCCCCATATCTCGGAATCAACTACTTTTTTTTTTCCCCCCCCATTTTTACCTTCTTCTCTCAGTGCCGTTACCTCGACGACCTATCCTCTTTCTCTCAACTGTTCCCGCGTGTCCCTTCATCGCTTACTTACAGCAGCCGTTCCCGTCGTTCCCTTGCTCGCAGCGATCTCAACTTTTTCTTACAGTCGTTCGGTTGACACTCCGCCGCAGAAACAAGGAGAAAACGCGGGAAGAAACGCAGAGGCAAGTATAGAGGGAAATAAAAAAAAAGGAGAGTGAGAAACTAGCCGCGAGTAAAGGGGCGAGGGAGGACGAGCGCCGCGCGAAAGGTGGCGGAAACGAGGAAGCCATCTCCCGAGAAACTCAAAGGAGGGAGAGAGAGAGAGAGCAGAGCCACTCTTTGTTTCGCCTGCCGGCGAGATATCGGCTAAGTTTACTGTGGAAACTCGACCTATAAATTTCATCCTTTAATACGGGGGGCACCCAGAACGTATAATATGAAACCGGCGAGTTATACCTCGCGGCCGTTTTAAGAAACGCCGTCAGGCGTTACTCACCCTCGGTCCGCTAACGTTTCCCGGCCGGAATTTGTTGGATTTGCAAAAAGTTCGCAGGACGATATTCCTGAGTGCTCCCGCAAAGTGAGACGCGGAATAAAAAAAAAAAAAAAAAAAAAAGCGAGGTCTTAAAGTTAGGAAAATTCTCCAGCCACATTTCTGTGAAAAAAAAAAAAAAAAGGGAAACACGCGATGCATTATTTTACTTGCATACGCCCAAAGTTATTACACCTAACAAAAACAAGTTTGCGGTAGCGTTAAAAATATGTTGTGCAGATGGTTCAGCGCATAGTTCATTCAGTGCTGAACCAAAACCGTGGATGTGTTTATTTTATTTTCAACCGTGTAAAGAGAGAAATAGTTGTTCGTTTAATTACATATAAAATAATAAACTGAGATAAAAAAAAGGAAAAAAGATTAAATTTGAATAATATTCTCTTCGCACATATAACCGTTATTACACACGTGAATATACATTATCAGCTAATTAAACAATTATTTAAATAATCAATTCTAATTTAATTAGTTTAATAATAAATTAATTTTTGAGTACATATAAAAACGTACATATAATAACAAATTTGAACGAATTCAATTATATGTTTCGTTGTATGTTTAAATAAAAAGAGGAGGAGGTAATTATTTTTTATATTCCGACGATTTAATAAATATAAAAACGTTTCGATCCACTGTGGGATCTTCTTCAGTGTCTCTGCATAAAAATTATAAATTATTATATATACTATTTATAATATTAATTATAGGACTTTTTTTCGAATATTTAGAACAAAGTATCGAATGGAAAATTTAGAACTTAGTTAGGTATTAGTTAAATTATAACTTTTAAATTGCAATTAAAAATTTAAAAAATCTATATATACCATTATTAAGTATATTAATTATATATATACCATTATTAAGTATATATACTATTTATAATATTAATTACAATTATTATATATAATATTACAACGAATGCACCACATGATCTATTCGCGACGATAATGAAGAATATGGATACAGAAGAAAAGATACGCTACAAACATACTCAGTTTGAGAAAAAAAGAGAGGGGGAAGTGGCAACTAAGTAACCGTCAGTCGTGTACGCAAGAAGACGCGAAACACATCCTCCCGCTTCGAAGACAACCGACGGACTTGAGCAGCTCACTCCTCCCACATTCGTGGTACATGTAACGTGGTCTTCCACCGCAACGCTTGAAAACGAACAGAGAATGACTGCGTCGCCTTGTTTATTTTCCAAAATTGAAAAATATGGTTTTGGCTTGTCCGTGTCCGACGTGACGTTAATTGAATTGCCTTGCAATTTTTGATGCGTATCATCTCGGACCTCTTGAAAAATCAAGATTCCGCGTCCAAAACTTTGGTACTTCGCCAATTTAAATTGTGGTACGTATGACATTCTTCTGTGTAACGACAGAAACATTATCCGCGCGACGCGATTGATCTGATTTTTGTGTTCGCATTAACGTAATGATTTTGCGATGCTTCGTACAGAGGAGTGCACCATATCGTGACGCGTCAGAGGAAGTATATTTTTTGGAAATTTCTCCTCCAACTGCTTCTACTACCGCGCACCGTTCTCCTTCGGTCTTTGCCAGCGGCCCGAGATCGAAAGAGAAACGACGCGCGGTAGTAGGAAACAGCCGGAGGTGCACTCCTCTGTACGTAGGCCGGACCTGATGAGAAAACTCAAAACAAAGAGTTTCCGAACACAAAAATCAGATCAATCGCGTCGCGCGG